TGCTTGCTATTATCAGATTTATTTTGCAGAGGCGTTGTAAAAAAAGAATGATGAGAAAGGAACAAAGAAATTAATCTGAAAGAACTTTGACGTACTACTCTGAAGTCATGGATTTTTTTAGACTTTATCAAAACAAAAATAGAAAAAAAAAAAAGAAATTGACGCCATTTGCAGAAAATAATTCGTGGGTTTTATTTCTGTTTTTAATTCACCGAATTTCTTCAACTTTTTATGTTTGAGTCTGTGTCTGTGTGTCGTTCTTTGCTTGCACTCAACAAAAATCTTCAATAAAACTTTTATCACTGCCGAGTATCTTATTCTGCTAACACACAGAGAAACGTTTCATATTGATGGCACTGAAGACTTTATTGTAAATTGAAATTGTTCATCTAATTTTTTTCGCACAAACTTATCAATTTGCAAAAAAATTATGAAAAATTAATAAATTGTAGAGTAGTCAAATATGAATATCGAGGAGCACACAACAATTTGTGTCATGTGTTTTTCGATTTGTTGATGTTGATGTTGCTATTGTAACCTATTAAATGAACTTAAGCAATAAGTCTAATGATGTGACCAAAGACACATATATAATTTTTCTGATTATTTTATGAAGTAATCGGTGGTTGGAAAAGAAGTTTGCAGTCTTGTCTAAAAAAAAAAATAATCACAAGGAATAACAAAAATAATTTGATGTCTTACGGGACGTATGGTACAACTAAGACATATAGCACTATGATGTTACAGATGCAGACCAATGATGACGATGACGATTTTAACGATGAAGATGATGACGATGATGAAAAAATAAATACTTTTCTGTTAGCAGTGTGTAACTCCAGACGTTGGTCGTTGGTTGACGATGGTTGCGGTATCACACAGATTACAGTGAACAATTTTGGTACGTATCGATGAATGAGCAAACTATGAAGCTGTTCACCAAACATGGATTCTTGATCAGATGACAGCTGCGTCATTTTCGCAACACCAAGATGTGTTGTATTTGGCAAATTTTTTTCATCTGTTTTTTTTTCTGTTTATAGCCATCATTTGCTTACTAAACATTATTTCTCCACTTTACGAACATAAAAATATTACCGTTTTTTTGTACTGTGCTTTTTATCTTAAGCTTTGTTTTGCTTTTTGTTGTTAACCATTGTTTTCTTGTTATGGTTGCTGGTATTAGTAAATACATCACCGATAAATCAATTTTTCCTTGTTAATTTTTCTTTATTTGCCAACTGTTGTTGTTAGTTGACTTTGTCGATGTTATTGTTTCCTTCTTCGTTTCCTGATTATTTTAACTTTTTTTTGTTAATAATTCAGGAATCAAAATCACATAGGTCTGTCTCCGTACAAACATACAATATTTGTTTACATATTACTGCATCTTTTTTTTGCTCATTTTCTGACATGTATTTGACATCAGATAATCTTGTAAATATAGCATTGTATCTTTAGTTGACTGCTAGTCACTGCGTAGTATTATAAATAAAATTACTTGAGTACAAAATTTGAATAATCTTCTGTTAATTTTTTGGTGAAGGAATTGCATATATAAACGAAGTAATCGGATAGACTTGATTTCAGTTATCTTTTAAATAGAGGTAAATGGAAGAAAAGAGAAACAAAAATAAAAGTCTGGACGAACGTTTAACAATAATGTTGTTGAAGAATATAGATGACAGATAGACAAAGAATAAAAACTTAAGCTTACTGGATTTAGATCTGATTGCATTCTGAGTCTGTGAAAGGAAGAAAATAAAAATTTTTTTGTGCCTTTATCTCATGCATCAGGAGTTTTTTTTTTTCTTCAAAAATTGACGTTTTTAAACAGATTGGTGATGGATAGATAGATGGCATTCTGTCAATGCAACTAGACAACAGCAAATACTGCGCCAGTGTTACTTTTTTTTTTTCATTTGGAATCAAATCTGAACGTGTTAGGCGTCTGTTACTGGAATCTGTTTTCCGCCCAACAGCGGTATCAGAAACAACAAATAAAATGATCAGTATAGACGTTAAAAATGCTCAGTTGGCAGAGTGACAACAAATCCAACAGCAACGGAATAATCATCAACAAATTTACCAGTCATCTTTGGTCTAACTTAAAAGCAGTTGGCAGCTTAATTCTCAATGAATCATCATTGTGGGTGCTGTCCTGTCTGATGGCGTTAAAAGTTGAACCATCTAATGCAGTTATCTCATTTTTCATTTCTGGGTCCGTTGATCTAAGGTCAAAAAAATTAAACTTAGTGTCCTTTAAGTGCTTTTCCTTTTCAAAATGGTTTTCATTAATTCACTCATTCATTTATCGGTTCATACAACGGGCAGTAATAAAGTGGCTCCTTTGCTTTTTTTTTTTCTCTCAGCGCATCCCCCCGTTTCATCCCCGCTCAAAAATGTGATGCTTTAATAAATCCAAAAGTTTTTTTTTTCTTTTTCTTTTTTGGCTCTTTTGGGAACAAATTTTGAAAAAATTTCTTGAAGTGTATTCTAATTAATTTGTTGTTATTTATTCAGTAATATCGTATGAACTTTTCAAAATTGCTTTTCACATTTTGTTGGTAAAAGTGGTCTGATCGTTCAACGATCGATGCTAATCTCCTTTAATCTTTTTTCTTTCCTTTTTGCTTTTTTTTTTTTAAACTTCAAATGGCATAACTGAATGAAAAAAAAAATTTTTCGGGACTTTTAAAAAAATTAGCTTGTTAAAGCAAAAAAAAAAAAATTTGTCAAAATGTACGGAAAAAACAAAGGTATTTTTTTTAGGTCGACCAAAAATAAGTGCAACGAATGCATACAAAATATTTTGTTGATTCTCGTAAATTTCTAATTAATGCAATTTTAATTGCAAAATAATTTGAGACATTAATGAAAATCTTCCTTAAAATTCAAAAATATAATATGGGAGTATATGGGAGTGTTTTTTTAGTCAAGTATTTGTTTTGTTGTTGTTTTCTTCCAACCTTTCTGATTCCCACCATCGTCATCCCAGTTTTTGCTTCTATTCATTTACCAATAAGTCACAGCTTCAAAAATAAATGTGAAAGAAAAAAAATTTTTTTTTAAAAACAATTATATGCCTTTTTTAACTTAGTTTTACTAAAACAATGACATCTGCACTTTAATAAGACTTGGTCACAAATTTCATTAGCGATTCTAAATTATGATTTAAAACTACCACATAGGTTGAAAGGAAAGGAGAAAATAGAACATCTTTTAAATTTCACAGCTTTTATACAGAGATTTGAGCGCCTGATATATGATTATTTTTTTGTGGGGAACAGAAATAAAAAACTTAATTTATAGTTGCCAAAATATTTTCAACAATAATCATTTACACGGTTTCAGTCATTTATCTTTTTCAAATCAATCAAGTTTATTTTTTTTCTTGCCTTTTTCTTTGTCTTTTTGGCTATCGGCATAATTTTAGATGACAGCTTCTCTTCTT